GCATTTTCATAACATAAACCAGTTTCTAAACTAAATGGGAAGAAAGAGGTTGCTTCTTTACTCAGCTGTTTTTGGATGAGGAAGAGACAAAGTATTCTGCATGATCATCTCTAATGTATCATGTGGCCAATTTACAAAATAGAATAGCAATCTTCCATGTTCTTCTACAAATTAGGGGTTTTGGTTTTGGTTTTGCCACCAGTTTCACCCTAAGTATTTAAAATTATCAAGTCCAGCCTCTATTTCTGACCTTGTTATCTTAATAAATGTCATTTGCTTGAGAATTATTAAGAAAGCACCACCGTTCTTTGGGCAATGAAAATAAATCAGAAATCACCAAAATATTGGCAATGAAGGACAACACGATTACTCTGAATTTTACATCAGAATGAAACTTAATACGTTCATGCTACCCACCACTGCTTTGAGATATATATGTAGGCAAATTGAAAGGAAAAACAGGCTTGAAGGAATACAATTTTAGAAGCAGAGAGAGCACCTACACTTCTGCCTAAATAAAAAAGACCCAAGAAAAGTTAATTCACTGTGGATCTGCATTGTGTGTAAAACAATAATGTAAATTCAGGTAGAATAACTGGACTAGAGACCATAGATGTAGGAAATAGAAGAAAGGCAGTATGAAGGAGCAAGGCTTTTCTACAACTAGGAAAAGGGGAACAGAAAAGATGAACAGAATTGCAATTGAGCACTGAAGTTTTCTTCCATTTTTACATATCCTTGGAAATATCCAGAATCTCTTCCCACAGAAATTTTCTGTGCCCAGCCATCTCAATCTTACAGTGCAAGCAGTAATCTTTGCAACTAAATAGTTTTCAAAAGTGCAATGTAATGAGTATCCCAGAACTTAATGTTCCTTCTTTCAGCTCGTACTTTCCATTAGATGCTTGCATTCAGTCTGTTTGGGTGTGGCTTTTAGCATGCCAAACCACCTAATTATTCATTAGTGCTTTTCTAAATTATTAGGTGTGTTCAGACATGTAAGGTACCTTGCACCTGCAACTGGATGGTCTGAGAATTGGATTGTTGAAATGAAAACAAGACAGCTTCTGTTCTTAGACTTGAAAAGTGTACAAACTCATCTATGGTTGCACATTTAAAATTGCTACAGACCAAAATATTGCCGAATTAGAGGGCAACTTTTCCCTTAGTGGTCCAGTCCTCCTTTAATACTCTCAAGTAAAGAGCTGTTAAAAGACTCAGGAAACAGAAATAATTTAGTTTGAGGAAGTAGCACCATGTTAGACATTGTTGGACAATGATATTTGTTTGCTCCTGCAAACAAATCCTACTCTGTCTGCCAGGGACTTCAGATACATTGACTGTATAGATACTTACTACCTCAAAAGAGAAGACATTGAAGGGTTTGAATAAACATTACAGCAGTTTTGGTTTAGCTTATTTTTAATTATCTTCAAAGACAAAAGCACTCATAAGAAAATTCTTCCAGCAGGAAGACGTTTTAAAAGCGTAAACAGCAACTTTAAACGTATTAGAACTCTCTCCCTCATGAGTATTTTGTTGCAATGCACCAATTTTCCCACAGTATTACCCCCAGCTCTTCCTTGCTCTCTGAGTATATAGCATATTTAAAAGGTCATCTGCATCTGACTTAAAAAAAAAATCAAGAGAGCAAAAAAAAGCCCCTAAAGCATCAGGCTTTGAACTGATGTTGAAACTATAGGCTATTTATACATTTATAATTTTAAACAAAGTGTAGGTCAAACATTTCTAAAGCTTCCTTTTCTATTATGTTTTTTTTTTTTTTAGTTCCTTGAGTGAATGAATGTACTGTGATGAAGTGGACTCTACTTTTCTTGAGTTACGTCTTTGAATATAAATGCTTTCAGTTTTATCAGTTCTTTCCTTTTTGGAATATCATTTTGTGACAAGCAGATACAGTTTTAAAATTGAGAGAGAAATTTGACTGGAAGGAATGGGAGAGCTCAGAGTAACTACTTCCTTGTTTCTTATACTATTTTGAAGGATGATGCCATTTTAAGTGCAATGCGTAATCAGGTACAAACTCTGAGTTTGGAAACCACCCAAGAGAGCTATAACTTTTCTCTGTGAAGGCAGCAAAATGCATCTTACTGGTGATTTTACATCTGCTGAAAAGTTGCCCATAACTTAAGAAGACCTACCCTCTAAATCTTCCCTGCAACTGATTGACGCTATCGCACTTTGTGCTTGCACAGAGAGGAACTGTCTCTTTTAGAAATTAGTTTCAAAATGGCAGATCACTGCTATTGGGATTATTAGGGAAAATTTTTAAAAAGTTAAACATTTTAAAATAGTTTTCTCAGAGACTGACAAAGGCAGTGCCAGCAAACCTGCCCCAGTGACTGGTAGGACCATACTGACCACTCAGTCTCATTATCACTTCTCATCAAATTGATAAATGGCTTGCACTAAAATATCAATATGTGAAAAAAGTAAAATGGAGAAGTCAAATAATTTTCTTTCCCTTTGTATCAAAACTAGCAAGTGTTCATGAAACCATTCATACATTCCCAGTGGCTTGCATTTACCATACTACCTTGTACAACTGAACACCATTAGATGCAGCTTCCAGTTACTTGACAGAAAAACAGGAAACAATATTCAGCTACTAGTCCCTACTCATATTTGCATCAATTTCTGAGTAGACTTGATAAGTATTTTTATAAGGGGTAAGCACATGAAAGCCATTAGACTGATGTAGAAAATAATGAAGTGAAACCCCCATACTGTTTTGAAAGTGTTATTAGTGAAGCACTCAAAGAAGCTTAAAATTAAGTGTGAGCATAGGGTATGATTCTCCAATACTGAGATCTACTGACACTTTAAAGAATGTTCCTTCACTCATCATGGCTGGAAGAAAATTAAGTAACACCACTCACACTTTATGATTTGGGATCATAAATATTCAAAAGTAATGCAATTAAAAAAAGTAATCAGTAGGTTTCTGAAGAAGCCTAAATAATTTGAAAATCAAGGTGCCCTGCAAAGCTATTTATTTCTAGGGACTTCCAGGAGCGATACACTCCCAAATACAAGCATGGTGTTTTGCTACAGTGACACTTATTTTGAGAGCAAAGCCAATTTTCATAAGCTATCAGTCTGGCCTGGACTGTGGAACTGACCTAGATACTTCGGGACACTTGGGAGGCATGACTTTACATTTGATAAGTGTATGAAATAAATATAGGGACTATTTACAAGGCTCTCAACATGCTTTGGAAATGGCTATATCATTCAAGTGCAGGTGCTAAAATCACAAACTCAAAGCAACAAATAAAAAGTGGAAACAAAAAGGCACTTTACTGCTTCTTAAGCCTGCACTCTTAAATTTATACTTGGTATTTAAATTTCATAAATTTTAATAAGCATTTCCTTTCTCAAATCCCCCAACATTCTTAATTCTTTCAAGAAACATTTTGTGACATAATAATCCCATGCACTAGTACACGCTTGGGACCAACTGGCTAGAAAGCAGTTTTGCAGAGGGACCTTTGGGTCCTTGTGGACAGCAAGCTGACCATGAGCCAACAATGTGCCCCTGCAGCAAGAAAGGTCAACAGCACCCTGGGCACCATTAAGAAAAGCATCACCAGCGGATGAAGAGAGATGATCCTTCCTCTCTGCTCTGCCCTGCTGAGACACAACTGGAGCTCTGTGTTGAGTTCTGGGCCCCCCAGGAGAAGAGAAATATGGAACTGCCAGAGAGAGTCCAGCAAAAGGCCACTAAGTTGATTAAGGGACTGGAGTATTTTTCATATCAGGAGAAGCTGAGACTGTTCAGCCTGGAGAAGAGAAGGCTCAGCAGGGACCTTATTAATGTATATATATACCTGATGGGAACGAGTGAGGGAGACAGACCCAGTCTCTTTTCAGTGGTGCCCAGTGACAGGACAAGAGGCAACAGGCACAAACTGAAATACAGGAAATTCTCTTCAAATATAGGAACAAACTTTTTACTGAGTGGGTGGTCAAACACTTGAATAGGTTGCCCAGAGAGATTGTGGAGTCTCCACCTTTGGACATATTTAAAATCTGACTGGACATAGTCCTGAGCAAGCTCTAGCTGACCTGGTTTTGAGCAGGGGGATTGAGCTAGAAGATCTCCAGGTGTGCCTTACAAGCTCAGCTTTTCTGTGATTCTGTGATTTTCAACAAGTCAGTATTTCTCTGTAGTACTTCACGAGTTCAAAACCATGTAAAAAATGAAAATGTGGATTATAGAAAATGACAATTCTGTGTTTATCACTGACCATTGGTGCTAATTGGCACCGATTACTGCTGACAGTAACTTCCACTTTCAAGCAAATGACCATTTTGAATTAATTCCTTGTACCTCTTTGAATATCATTGTGGTATTATATGTTACATATTTTTCAATAAATCACATGGCAAAATGTGTCAACTGAAAATAATTTAAAGGACACTTCCAGTGTCCTTTATGTATGCATCTAGTATGCTACGCAGTCATATGTGCAGTTCTGTTGACTTCTGTTGTAGTTCGCTTCCTAAACACCTCATTTCTATAACATGTCTGTTAATGAATTTTACTCACTGCAGTTTATTGAAAAATCAGGGAGAGTTTAAGAGCAGAATATTTTTTCTTCAAAATAGGTTGCATTCTTCAAACGTAAGTGCAGAAAAAGAATACATTATCGTATATGAAACATGAAATATTCAAAGAGAAACTTGAAAAAATGTATAATGAAATATAAAGTATGTTTTGATACAGAAGAGATACTGAGCGAACTGCTGGTAAGAACGATGTGCTAAATCAAATAAATTTATCAAAGATGTCTTCATTTGTTTCATTCAAATATTTCTGAATAACTTTAACTAGCAACATTAATTTAGTGATTCTAGCAGGAATATATCGCCTGGAAATCTGCTTCTTACACATTAGAATAAAACATAGAAACTAAGATTCTGTAGAAAAATAAGTAAACTTGACAACTATAGAAAAATCTTAATGAGACACCTACCTTGCCTACATACTGATAATCAGATCCTGTGTATTCCTCTAAAAGAAAAAACTGGTTCCACATCCATCCTCGCTTCTGACGGTGAATTGCTTTTCCATCACTCCCTGATGCACGTCCTCCAAAGCTTTTGGGTCTGAGATCAGGAGTCCTTCTGAACAGCATTTCTGGATGACAAGGATGTGGCAGCCACATCCAGAGCAGCAGAAGTAATAGAACTTGCTGTATTGTCATAGTTCTCCACTGCTGGTGCTCTTAAAGCCGGTCAGGGATGGACTGTACAGTTTTGTTTTCCTTGACTTGCTTTTTATGTGTCTAGTTGCTGACGTGGCCAAGCAGTTTCCAGCAACTCATCTCTGAGCTGTACATAGTAAACAAATTCTGAAAATAAACAGAGAAGAGAAATGTAAATTGAAATACATTCACTCCCTAGTGTCCAACATCTCTGCTACTGTACCCTGCAGATACAAACATTATGACATAGAAAGCGACCTGGCTAGGAATAAAAAGGTTATCAAGATAGGGAGAACACTGTGATATGTTATGTAGCTGCTGTCAAAACACTTCCTAAGAAAGAGTAAGAGTGCCCTGAGATTGTCAACTATTTCCCCATTAAAACCTTTCAATTTAGAAACTTCTAAGAGTGTTCTTCATGTAGACTGGGGGATTAATATTGCTGAAACTTACACATTAAATACTGCTGCCTTTGCTTCAAATGTTTTCCACCCGATTTGTTTGACAAGAATTCCAGTCTTTTATTAATCTTACTATCAAGAGAACTGAAAAGCCAACACAAAGTAGTTTCAGAAATGAGGAAATGGTAAAACACCAGTTCTCCAGGGTGTTTTAAATGGTAAAAGAGAACATCACATGCATCAGAAGAAATACAACATGACAAGAAGCGAACTTTTAAATAGAAAAAGTTCTTGAGATGATCTCGGAATGTGGAGTGATGCAAACTTAGCCTTAAAACGCAGGAAGTGTGTGAAAAATGAGGGCCTGTTTTGCAAGTAGCCTGAATAATTTTGGAAAGTACTGAAATTAATCTCCTTGTGGGAAGTAATATTGCAGAGAGAAGCAAACCTCTTCTAACTCATCTTTGTTTTGCCTCCATATCTTTTGCTTTGTTTTGTTCTGCTTTGCTTTGTTTTCTTTTAGTTTTTCCTTCTGACGAAACCATAAGATGCTATTTCAGTAAGACCAATTTAGCCAGGTTCTCTTCACTTTACTTCTGTCCTGGCATTTAAAAAGTAACAGTTTTTGCTAGTTGAGGTCATTTGGTAATGTTTTCCTTCAGTAAATCATGAAAACCTATGATTTGTCTTCTTAATAGGATATAGTTTCTGCAAATGTCCGTCAGGGTGGGTTTTATTTTTTTTTAGCATACCCACAAAAACCAAAATGTGTGGATGGTTGTTGCAGTTCCTTGTATATTCTTCCATGTGTGACACAAAAGCAGTAAATATCTCATGTTGTTTTTTCTCCTCTTTTCTGGTTTTAATTGATAAGAAACATTGCACACAGCAATCCCATGCATCTTCTGATTTCAATAAATTTGTATTATAGCTCACTATCATCTTAAATATTTTTAATTTTTCAAAGTAGTGCTAGGTATAACTTTCAGAAATTCTTTCTGTGTTTCAGTTTGATATTTATGTGCTACTTCAGGTATTTCCTGTAAGCCTGTATTGATTAAAACAGTCTGCAATAAAACATCAGGGGTTTAGAGTGGAAAGCCTGTTAAAAGGCTTCATACAGTTAAAAGTTTCTGTGTGTGTGACTGCATGTATGTGTGTATTAATAAGAGTAGGTTCAGTTCAGAAACCAGCTATTATCTTCCAAGTTAAATTCTCTCAGGAGAATGTTTTCTCCTCTCCTCCAACATCTGGAAGACTGAAGAACTTCTCAAAGCCACTGCTTTCAAGGACTTTAGCCCCAAGACTGTTCCCAGTAACTCACAGGTGTTCCTTTCCATTTGTCTTAATAAGCAAGAGGTTATGTATCATTTCATTTACTTCTTCCTTTCTCCTAAAACTTTGACACTTAATTGATTTGTGAACTTTGAGTAGTACCCATAACAACCTTTTCTAATATAATCCACTAATAACATATGCTGAATTGTATCAGCATGTACAAACTGGAGATATGGTCCTCCACCTTGGAAATCATTTATCACAACTCATATTTATGTTCTTTTGGAAAAAAAGGTATACTGAGCAAGAGAGGAGGACTATGATTTATTCTCAGATACTTAGAAATGTTTCTTCTCAAAGACCATAGAAATTTCAAACTTGAAATTAGCTCTTCAAGATATTATTAGTTTCTGTAAAGATTGGAAAGCTATTGGGATTTTCTTGAAAAGGAGACATAGTATTTTCTCTCTTTTTTTTGGTGTGTTTTTTGTTGTTGTTCTTTTATTTTTTTTTTTCTGCTTTCTTGTTGCCATCAGTATATATATTCCATTATTCAGACATTATTATTTGATGTACAAGTGTTGTTAAATTCCTCTTGGGAAATAATGCTTCAATATTAGGGGTTGTTATTGAATTTCCTTCTTGTTAAATTAGGTCAGCAGAATGAAAGCTCAGATGAAATTTGTGAAAGTTATAAAAGTAGCTAATGCACATGGACTTGGCAAGCATGGCTGCTTAATGGATGTATGTACCAGCAATGTCTTTTCCCTCCTTTGAGATTTCTTTTCGAGTTCAGCTTCCTGCTTTAAATGTAGTGAGTTTGGTAGTAATCTACACTAAGGCAGTAACATTTACCTTTAAAAATAAGCTAGCAAACAAGAAAAAATAGACTGAACTAATAACAACTAAATAAAAAGCACTGAATAAACGAAATGTGTGAAGAGAACTAGATGAAGGAAACCTTTAATGTATAAATACAGAAAATAGAAGTCCTAGTTCTGTTATACATTGTGTATTTGTGTTCCGTGCTACCCTAGCCAGAGCTGGAACAGTCAATAGAGGAAGGTAAATTTATCTGGGTTTTTTTTTTTTTTAATCCCTGGAAAATTAATTGGAGAAATGTCTTCATTTTGGTGAAAATCTTATCTTAGAAGAGGGTCTGAGAACTCAAAAGAACTGTGATAGTTTTGACAGCCTCACTAAATATTTTTTTAAAGAACTGGCATAATTTTAAGTAGCTTTAATAGTTTTAAATGAAACTATTTCACCAGTCTTTCTCCTCAAATTTCTCTCTAACTCTTCTTCCAGATGATGACTTCTCAACTTTTTCCCACAATAGAAATAAAACAAAGAAAAAAAAATTAAAAAAATATTAGAGCTTTCTAAAAAATATCAAATACATGCAAGGTTCCATATTTCTGGGTATTATCCTTCTAAATTACATTAAACTTACTACAGGGGAATATTGTGCCCAAGTCTGCTCTTGTTTATATAGGTTTTTGTTTTGGAATTATTTTTAATGAGTTTTCTTGGAACGCTCTCTGGTATGGAGGAGATGGATTAATCATCACTGAAGCAATTAATCATTTCACCATTAGCTTTCAGCTAACAATTTTAAAACAATTAGGCAGTTCTCACTTTCCTCAGGTTAATCACTTCTATATCTCTGAGAACTTAGAAGAAAACGTTTTAATGCAATTCCAACTATATTCAAGTGATTTTTTGCAAAATTTGGAAAATATTATACCTTGCTTGCTCAGTCATGCAATCCCCTTAATAATACTAAAACATGCTTCATGCCATTTGAAACTCATGAGATTTAACAGACACGTAAGATGGGCCATGAATACCTTTAACTGGTGCACTTCTCACACTTCCATTTATTGCTTGCTCCAGGAGGTTAATCTTTTATAGCTGAGATTTTTTTCTTTAGTAAATTATCTCCTCTTTTTGACTGTCTTTGTGCATAATGTATAGATGCTTTTGGAAGTCAGCAAGAATTAAATTGAAAGTAAAAACTGTAATATGGATCAAAATCTTGTATGTTTTTTTTTAATCCAGAAATTTTAGTAAACCTCTCTCTCCTGTGAAAAGCAAATTTGAGCAGCAAAACATTTTACTTGGGATAACTGCCATTTACGATTTTTATTCTGTATTTAACCTTTGTTAAACTTGAACTGATTTTTAATTTTATAACATTTTAAAAAGTTGGTTTAAAGAAAGATATTTCTGCAATGCCATTTCTGGTTTTGCCTTTTCTGTTTCTGTTGGGAGACATTATTTATTCACATCTCAAATCTTGTTTTTCTGTTCTTTTTTGCTATGTTTGTAAAAAGAGAGATATTTTTGGAACTGAAGGTGCAGAGGTGACACCAATAAAGCTATTCGTATATACAGCTACAGGGAGAAATGTCTCCTATTTTCTTCTACATTTCTCCAACTCTTTGGTCCCCCTCCAGCCACCAGTATAGAGCTACCACCACACACTACAGACCCTCTTTCAAAGTGGCTACAGCCATCAGCCATGAGACACAATTGCTACAATTTTAGTTTCCTCCCTGAAGCAGGTAACTTGGTAAGGTGCCTCTCTGTTTCACTAGAACTCTGACTCCTGACTTATGAAGTCACGAACTAAATTCAAAACTCTGGCTAGGTTTTGAAATAGTAGGAACTATTTAACAAGCTGGTGAAAATGGAAGAAGGAAGGCAGTTAAGTGCAGAAAAAGCTGCATTTTCAATGAGCCTTGGGAGAACTTCCAGCTCAGCTGATTTAGTTGTTCTAACTTATTTGACACCTCTATCAAAACCAGGAATAACGTTCTAATGCTTTCTAGCACATTATGATGTAGCAGGTACTTTAAACAGACACCTTTGCAAGAGATTCTTATTCAAAACACAACAAAATATTTCCGTCTGTAAGTGTAACTTACAGATGTAAGTTATCCCTAAGGGAAAAGAAGACAATACTTTTTAGAAAGGTTTTGAAGAGTACTTAGAGTAAACAAATGAGCTCTTCCAAATGATCAGTTCTTAATGGGTTCTAGTCTCATAGTTCCTTTTTTTACAGATTTATGTTCCTTGCTTTATCTATTATATCCCAATGAAGTTGCCTAATGTATTTGTCTAGTTCTGAAATAAGGAGATAATTGGTAAATTATCAATAAGCTGCTTATTTCATAGCCTCCAGCAGAACAGTTACACACCACAGTGACCACACTTTGAGTTATTAAATTACAACATGAATTTGCAAAGTAGTCAGCTATACCTTTGAACTTTAGAACTCAATCATCTTTATGAAGTCCTGCAACACTTGATCCATTTAGGAATCTGAATTGAGTATGCATAGTTTGATGCTAAACTAAAAAAAAGGCAACGAACACTTCAGAAATTATGTATTTTAATTAGTATTAGCAATTATATTTCAAAACTACTTCACTCAAATGAGAGTTTTTCATATTTTCATAGTTCGT